AAAATATCTCACTCAAAACCAATCAGACAGAAACCACCCTAGTGCAATAATATCATTGGTATATGAAAATCTTCGAAGGATAGGGCAAGAGGAATTAATAACCTACACGATCATCCACTGTGGCCCAAAATACAGTAGCAGTGAACATGAGTCCAAATGAGTGAAGGAACACACACACCAGTAATACACGTGTGAGGACTTGTGTTGATTGGTCCAGCTTTGAATCCAAAACCGAGCCACTGGGAATACATCCATGTAGGGGTAGGATAAGGGATCCCAATTGAAGGGGTGAGCTGCAATTTTGACAGCTCACTCCAAAGCTACAATATCCTCTTGGATAGACCTATTCAGAAATGGAGCATCAGATTGGAGGACATCTCTTCATCTATACCAGCAGAAAACCAACTGCCTACTCTCAACTGAATGGATTCATTATTGTTTGTATCATACATCACTATCACATTAAGGAGGATGCCTCCATGGTCCACCACCCTAGCAGCTTGGAAATGGAAGGTGGTAAGGACTCCTGTACTCCACTGGAAGAAAAAAGGGGGGAGAAAATGCAGTGGAGAGTCCAGAGAAATGTCAACACTGTGACAGTGCAACAGGAGACCATGAAAATCCTATTTTGAAAAGCAGACCACCATAGGTTAGTATAGTCCAGAATAGGCACATGAGTGAAGCACATATCATGAGGAAAACCTACAAGCAATCTTGTGGAACACCCCATCTCAATAATTTGCATTTAGTGGCCACTTAAATTATAACTGTTAAGTCATCATGGCATTACTGTGCAGGCTTGACTAGTCAACTAAGCATACCTGGACAGGCACCACTTGCCACAGAAAGGGATTCTGTAATAATAAAAAGAAGGGACATTCCCTTGAAAAATAAGAAGTTTATATACAAAAAAGTATGTAACCCAGTCACAGTCTCAATGAAGAGTAAAGGATGGCAAGAGGTTGAAGACCGTACCCCAATGAGGAAGAAACAGCTACCCAAAGCAGATGAGAGATAAGCGTATCAGGTGTAGTCCCAGTGCTTGACGGAAGAAGTACCTCCAATGTACAATGAGGGTGAGATGCAGGTAAAAGGGAAGGTGCCTGATCAGAGTGAAGTCACCAGGAACTGGTTATGGGAAAAGCCAATCAAATCAGAAACAGAATCCAAAGATTAAGGGAGGAAGGAAAAAGTCAAAAATAGGAGTGGTACCAGGGAATGAAACAGCAGGAAAAGAAGCCAACAGAAAGAAGCCTTGAAGGCATTGAAGCACCCCATGTACCAGATGAGGAAGACTATCCAGATCCGTCCAGGAATAAATGAGGGAGATGAAAGGAATTGAAAAGGATAAATGTGCCACACGAGCAGCCAAAGTGTAGGGTAGGAAAAACTGATCCAGAACAAAAAGAACAGTTTGAGCTGAAGCAGCCAAAAATTCAATTTGTGTTGGCTAAGAAAGCAATCAGAAAGACATGACACAGAGTGGTAAAGATGAATGAAATCACTCAGGGAAGATGATGAATGGGATGAGAAAATAAAGGTATTGTTACGACAGCGGAAGTCATGTGACGCTGGTAACACATCATGATATTCTTGAAGGATCTTGACTTTTCCTGGCAACTCTAGACTTTTCTAGGCACCTTCTATTTTAGTATATAAGCCTGGCAAATAAAGCGAAGATATAATTGCAGATAGCCAGATATAGAGACAGATAATTGAGTCAAGCGAGCGATAGTGACCGTAAGTAAAGTGCGTGAATCGTTGTGAATTATAGCGTGTGTTTAAGTTAAAGTGACTGTGGGAATTCTGTGTATTGCAAAGTTGTATTGAGAAAGAATAAACTAATTTTAATTCAGAAA